TAGGCGTCCTTATTTGAAAAAACCTGTAATTGATCAGGTTTCCTCATCCTCACAAGAAATTCTTAAGATTATGCTGTCAAGATTATTGCCAGAAAAGCATACAATCACAAATTATGTCTTAAAGAGATCAATGCTTAATCAGGAAGAAATGGCAATCTACAAAAGCAGTGAAAGAGATATTACACTTTGGTTTCCTAGTGCACTGCACATAACCCTTATCTGATACCTGGAGGTAGAATCATCATACACATAGATGAACTTTTACGTGAGAGGTTTGCAGAACAGAGAGAAGAACAGGGTATTGATGTACTCCTGTGTTAGAAACACTACCTCTGTAGACTAGTAGGAAGCAAAAACTCTGCCCCAAATCCCACAGCCCAACAGAGTAAGAGCCCAACAGAGTAGCGAGGCATCAGCTCATACAACCTTGGACAACCTAGCATGGACTTGTACAGTTGAGCAGGAAGTACCAGGGACCTCTAAATAGATATTGAACCAAAGACTTAAAAGAGGAGATCCTCCAGGACTGTAGTCACTTCCAGTTCTGCAGGTCAAGAGCAGAAAGATCAGATTTTTAAGTACTTACTGCAAAAAAAGTCTTCTACTCATTTGTATACCAGCATTTTATAAAACCTATATAAAGGAGAAAAAATGCTGTTTGCATTCTTTGACAAGCTGAAATTTCTGATGCCCAAAAGACAGCACAAGCCCTAGATCTCCTGCAACAGAGTAGAGGCAAATTATGTCAGGTCACTATCCTTAACTGATGTGTACCAAGAAAACCAAATTAAACAATGTGGAGCAACATACAAAAAAACCCCATAAGACTTACCTGTTAAGCAGAATGATAAAGCAGAAGTTCTCCTGTTACTATTAATCACACTGATCAAATCTGAAAATTTGCTAACAGTTACTGGTTTTCCTATTGAATTTTCCAAGTTCCTTACCACAGGAAACTAAAATATCACAGACCTTTTTTAAAGCATTAAGTGTTCTCTCTTCAAAGTCAGAAATAATTTGATGGAAAAGAACAAAATATCTAGGCCTAGGGTTCAAAATTAAGTAAATAATGAGAAATTCTAGAGAATATATGCTGTCTTGAGTCATTTTCCTAAAAAAAACCTCACAAAGGTCATTGATATTAGGAGGTCACTGTGATTTCCACAACTAATGCACCTTTGCCTAAATTTTCAAACTGACACTAGCAGTAAATTAGTTTATGTTTAAGTTCATTCTTAAAAACAAATTTTATTAAACCTATTTTTAAATGTGTCTAACTTCACTAAGTTGAGGCTAATGTAAAATTTAGAGAAACAGCAGGGAAAAAACCCTAAGAAAATTAGCAAGAAGGGTGAAGAACATGTTGCTATTAATGTATTACTTCTAGTAAAATACCACTGAAGTTCAACATAATCCAAGCCACAGTGCAATGTGTGTAAAGCAGCCAAGAGTCTAAGTTCCATACACTAGAAGAAAAGTAATAATTACATGGCTTTTTTTTTTGTTGTTCAGATATGGAATTTAGTTGTGGCACTGATTCAACCTATTTGTACTTCAAAAGAAAACCATTCTGCATGGAAACATAGTCTAAAGCAGCAACAAAATGCCAATTTCAGTGCTAGTTTTGCTTTTAAAGTTTGCATCAGAAAATATGAGAACATGATTGTCATGTCCACCGAGCACAAGGGAAGTAGAGCAATTTAAAGCAGTTTATTGTAAGAGGACACAACTGAGCTGAGAAGTCTCATATTTGACTTGTGTCCAGAAACAGGAATCCAAATGAACTATTAAGCTGTAGTCTAAATGTTTGAAGATTTTTTCAGCTGGGGACATTACACAGCCTTAAATGGTAAAAACAGTTAAGTCCTATCCCAATAAAAATCCTTGGAAAAATAATCTTCTACAAATAAGATGAAGCTCCAGCAGACCATAAATTGATTTGGAAATGTTCACATTAGAAAAATCACATTGATAGCAATAAGCACACCATTCAACAATATGAAACCAGGTAAATATTTTTGCACTAAGCATACATATGAACTCCATTGTAAAAACATTCAAACCTACTTGGCCTTCCAGCCACACTGAAGTATTTTCATGACAAATGTATCATGATTCTTCTTCCTGCAGTCTCTTGTGTTTCTCTTCTGTTAAACCTTACATTCCAGCCTAATAGTAATATATTTTCTCCTCCAATCAACCATACTATTCAGTGGCATTTCCTAGAAAAAATTTTCTTGTGTGTCAAATAAACACAGAAGAAAATCCTTCAGGGACAATTTGATATACCACAGATGCCATTTGAAAGAACACTGAACCAAGAAATTAAAAATTTCCTTAGTGAACCTATCAGCACAGGAGATGTGGTAGAAGTACATATTTTAGCAAAATTTAAATATATCAAGCATGTGACCTGGACTTCATTCCATAATTTTAAAGCTATGTTCAGAAGGATCAGAAAAGTCATGCAGTGGCAAAGACCAACAACGCAAAAGACAAACTGAAAAAGTCTACATGCAAGAAGCAGCATGATGGTATTGCATGAATCTTTCATGGGGAACAAAAGCAGCTCATATGTGGCATTTTTGAGGACAGCAAAGTCGTCTTCATAATTTTCTGGTTAGAAATAATTTGGTGCTGCCTGGCTAGACAAAAACATTGACCAAAAAAAAGGTTACCTTGGAGGTGCCACACAGGATCTCATTGAGGGTAAACAAAAACATATTTTCTGGAGAAATTGCTGAACTTCTATAAACAATTAAACACCCCATTAAATTAAACTACATATAACAAAGAACTGTGTGAATTGGCAGTGCAACTTGATCATTAGTGTTCTCATACAATTCTGTGCTTCCCACATTTTCAGGAATTAGATCTGCAAGTTTTCCCATTTTTACATATATTCAAAGAATTTAACATTATTAGACTGTCATAGATGACTTATGATTTTTGGCAGGCCATCTGCTGTAATAGCTTTGAATTTCCCTTAAGTGCATATTGTGGATGACTTATTTTAGCAAGAATTAACACTACCTTGAGGCTCAAACAAAATCTAAACTCTTAACTTCTTTGCATCACTAACATGCCAAGTGAAGGTCAGTGTTACACATGTGTTGTGTGCTTAAGGTAGATTAAGATGCATGACATGCTACATATATTGGACATTCTTTTGATATTGATTTGAAACTACTAATCCTTCTAGAGCAGAATAAGACCATCTCCATATACTTGGACTATGTATTTTGTATCTCTGGTCAGCAGAGTCAGAACTCAAGAAAAATTTCAAAGAAATACTTTTCCAGTTACATTAGGGTTAAAAATTAAGCAAGATTGCTCATGCTTGCCATTCCACAAATTCCAAATATATTTGAAAAGTAATACTAGTTCTACTCTGCATTATTCCAAATTCCTGCAATATTCATTAGTCTCAGTGTAAGAATCACCACAAGTGGAAGAGCAATTTGCTCACAACATTTCCTGTGCTGGTTGCACACTAGATCTACTTTTTACTGTAGCATATTGCAGAATTTAATCAATCTTCCCAGAAAGAATGTCAGCAACAAGAGTTATTTCAGTGGCTCATTAGCTAGTTATTAGAAACAGACTTCATCACTGATATCTTAGGACAGTGACAACAAAAACCAGATTGTATGGATTTGTTTTTAAAGAATTTGATGTCATCATTTTTGCCATTATAAATTGATACTGAAAACAAATATTGGCAAAGAAAGCAAACATCCTATACTTTCTGGATTTCTCCATTGACCACACATAGGGAACAATACTTCTCCAACACTACAAAACATTCCTCTTTCAATACAGACAAGAGATAACATTATTTTATAAATGAACGAACAAAACTTTTGATTTTCTATTCTGTCAAAGAGAGAAATTTCAGTTACAGTTTCACAACCACGTTTTTCCCTCAAATAATACTGACGTAATGATCCTGCAGTTTTCAACCACTTTATACTGCAGATCATGCGGCAGAACTGTCAGCCAGACTCTTCAGCAATTTCTGCTCATTAGTTTGGGTGTTCTCCACACTGTAAATGAATGGGCACATAACTTTGTTCATCCCCAAGACTTGCAACACTTGAAAGTTTCATTCAGAAACCTGAGGATCTAGAAGTTCTAGAGGTATTTAACATCATGAAGGCGAATATTCCTGAGTTATTTCGCTGGATTTTTATCCCCACTTAGTAGATACAGTTTTCTCTTTACCAGCTGAGCCAGCATTCAAATAATTTCTTTTAAATATCATTTACATTCATGAGTCTATAGCGAGAGACTTTGGAATGTGGCATCAAATTTCAATTAGTTTTTTTCTGTAGTTTTCTATAGCCTGATAATATCAGTACTTAACTCACTTTGGTCAATGCTTCCATCCAAACAACCAAAGGAAACCATTTCAATACTGAAGAAGATATTATTCCCCAGTTGTGCTTATTCTACAGTCACATCATCCCAGGTTAAGATGCAGTGCATGGTAAAGGTCAAGTTTTTATATTCAGCATCAACATATACTATGTGTATGTAGGGCCCACCAAAATGAACACATGAAGCAAAAGAGAATCATCCGGATGGTGTAACCTCATTCCTTCAGGGGGATTTGCTCATTTTTGGTTTGTGGGGGGAATGCTGGTTTTTTTTTGCAATTGCCAATTTTAAACCCTAGGAGGCTCGGGCTTCAAAACTCAACTACTGAAAGGACTGACATATCCCAAAGAATGTAGGAGGAATTTGATTAGGCTTTTTTATTGGGAACTATTTGTAGTACTCCTAGATGCTTACATAGTAACAGTAGCTAAAAACTCTTACCATCTTTGGCTGTCCAGGAGACTGCACCCCTTCTCCAGGAATGTGGATTCAAGCATAGCTATCCATGTATTCATCACCCCTAGGCTGAATATCGCTGAGCGCTACACCCCAGGGATGAGGCGTTCCAAGTGAATCAACAGGCACCCTGCCCTGGGAAGCGGCACGTGGGGATTGCTCACCCGCGCCAGGCGGTCCGCTGGTCTGCTAGCAGATTCTTTCCAAGATCGGGTGCTTGATTTCATGCTAATGCGTGGGAGGGGATCCGTTTCTCCATTAATTTCTGTGATGACGGCAGTTGAGAGATCATTGCTATGGGCCAAATCAGGGGAGGGAGGCTCATTTCCACCGCAGCTGACTTCAGCAGTGAAATACTTGTGGTGGTGTCTCGACCGCAAGACAATTATTAGTTCAGCAAAATTTCCTCTGTGATAGCATTGTGATTATAGGAATGGGTTCAGTGCCCACAAAGAGAAAAAGTAAAGCACCATCTCAGAGTACCATATTGAATTTCCCTAGGCACTCATATCTCATTACCATGCATTTTGAGCAGAACATCTGAGCAACATTTTTGTCTTAACAAAAAATACGATTTACGAAGTTGCATAGAAAGCTTTTAAAAAATGAAAAAAATGCTCCTTTATATAGAAGTAAGAATAGGGCAGGAGCAAAAAATTTACAACAGATTTCTTTTATCCAATTCTGTTGGTTTTCAGCTGGAACAGAGGTAACATAAATACGTAGATCAATCAAGGCAGAGACCATTCTGTAGTTCCAACTTTCCATGTCTTCCCAGCTCCAGCAACTCCTAGTTTTCTGCTCTAATAAACAAGCTACTCACTTCAGTAAACAGTACTTTTTGTTAGTCAAGCCTTGTATTACAAAATAGTTTCTGGCCTTGATGCTAGGCACAGGCTTTAGGAAACAATCATTGTAGATACTGTGCAAGACAGCAAAAGCTCCAGTGCATCCAGATCAGGCAGAGGAAGAGAACATGACACAGTCCCTTTTTAAAAGCGGGGGTTCACAGATTTAAAAATAAAGTAATGTGCTTTACCCAGGCCCTAGACAGCTCAAACAACTGTGTGGAGCTATACACAAACAAGAGATACTTAAGCCTTTTCATGTAACACACAAAAAGAAAGCAGAAGTTAATTAAGAAGTGGATTCTTAGTACTTCCATACATTACATACATACACCATGCAAGTTAGCTTAACTCAGTGAAATCTCACACATAGATTAGTGCTTACGTACCTGAAGTGTTTTCAAATTAAAATTAATTTTAATTACACTGCAAATTGTGCACAGACTAGACTGCAGCTCAGCAAGTACTGATGTAGCATGTAGCTCAACTCATCTTTCTTTATGACTATCAAAAAGTCATAAGGAAACCAAAGAGAAATACAGGAAGCACTTACCTACTTGATAGCCATTAAAGAAAAATCTATCTGTGGAGCAGAGAGAATAAAGACATCTGTTTCATGGAGCTGGATATTTTAACATCAATTTCAGGTTGCCCTGCTATGTAAAAACAGTAGCATATTAACATGTTTCTGTCTTTTGGTTCTGTTGACTTTTTAGTGTCTTTGTGGATGCCCTAGGTTTCCTACATGAAATTAAAATCAGTCTCTCAACTCTGAGCCTTAAATGCAGCCGCATATATAAAATAAATAAACCCATTTCCCTTTGTTACTTGCAGAGACACTAATTTTTCCTCTTTCAGAACAGGCATTTCTTAATGCAAATGCATCAAGGCATCACATTTTTTCCTTATGTTTCAGAAAACAATATTGCCAAAAGCAAAAATTTCTATTTGTTCAAATTTATTTTGTACTTATACTACATGTGGCATACTGAATGTGCCAGCTCTCAAAAATCACAGTGCAGTCTTGAGCTGCACCCTCTGCTAAAAGAAATCTGACTTACAAAATCTAAGAAAGCCACAGCAGTATAAACACATAATAATCTTCGAGACAATCTAAAGCAATTGAGATATCCAGATAAATGTCCTGGGAACTTTCTGAAAGGATGCATGCAGCTGTAAATGGAGTGAGGACAAGAAACAATGGACAAATTGAAGCCCAAGAGGTTCAGACGGGATTGAAGAAAATGCTTTTTGCCCACGGGAACAGTCCCGCACTGCCCAGACAGGCTCCACAGCCCTTATCTTTGATGGTTTCTTCCACTTGGTTTCAAGACCAGAACTAAGCTGAACAAAGCCTTGAGCAACCTAGTCAGACCTTAAGCTGACCCTCCTTTGACCACAAGGTTAGACTACAGACCTTCCAAAATCCCTTCCCACCTCAATTGTCCTGTGAAAGCAAGACAAATCCTACACCGCCCTCCTGTAATATTTCATCTAGACAAGTCTTAAGTGACAACATTCTCCAAGAAACACAGCATGTAAGTCAACAGTGTTCTTAAAAATTTACCATCACTGCGGAGGGCCCTTAAAAAAAACTGAACAGTTTATTAATTTGAATAGACTTCCACAGACTGCTTGATCCAATGCAGGCATGTTGATTCACTGCCACTTTTGCCCAGGTGCTCAGACCAAAGCACGCACACCAGCTTAGTCACAGGGTGAGTAATCAGTACCCAATTTATTGTTACTTTACCAGTGAAAACATCTCTAGAGGTGTATCACAATGACCAGGGTGATTTTTTTTTCTTTGTTTTTACAGTCAGGGGAGAAGAGAACCCTCTCACACATTAACTGGAAAGGAATGATCAAGCATCTGCCTGTGCGTCTGGGGAGAGCTCTGGGACAGCTCTGAAGGACTGCCAGATCTACTTACTCAGCATCCTCATTTGCACGGCAGGCAGGATGCCAGACTCAGTTAAACAATACCTGAGGTCTAGTTTATATTCCCACCTAGGCCAGATAGCTGGGATTTAAAACACTTGCAAGTTTGGGTGTGAGGGCAGTGTACATTGACAAGGGAATTAGGCCATGGCTCTACAGGATTTCTCTTCTGATGCAAGATTAGCTCAAACAGCTCTGCTCTCCCCCTCACCCAATTTTCCTCAACATCTGCACAGATGGAGAAGTGAGGGGCAGAACTGGAGACTGCACTCCCTCTGGGGTGCAGGTGATGGACCTGGGATCCAGAGTGTGGCCCATGCAGAGTCCAGAGTACAGTGCCCTGGTTCTGCTGTTCAGGCAGGCAAGCTGCAGAAAGCTTCTGCCTTTGGGCTGGCAGGGACAGGCTGGTCCCAATTTATTTTAAAAACCAGGCCCCTCTCAGCTGCTCACTTGCTTTTCAACACTTACTCCACTCCTCTGCCCCCGTGTCTCGCACATCAGTTGCCATAGTTTGTTTCCTCCCCACTCCCACTTCTCTCTTCACATTGTCAGAAGAGAGGGGAGATGGAAGCACCTCCTTTCCCAGTTCATCACCTGTCAAAAAAAATCTCTTAAAAAAAACCCCAAAAAACAGTGACTCACCCAAGCACAAAGCCAACAGAAAGTTCTAAATCTTGTTGCTTGTACATCTCCTGAATTAGGCACCATGGGTGGCCCACCTCTTTCTAGCATGTATTGCGAGGGAGCACCTCTAGCCATTGTGATGGCAATACCCAGCACCACCACCCAGCAAATCTTAAGTCTTCCTTCTCCACACCAGCCACACGTTCACAGAGCAAACCATCCTTTGCTGCGATATCAGAGGTCTTTGCCTCTCAGAACTGACAACAGTTTGTAACACACTGACCTCAGGCAGCACAACACCTCATCCTGCCAGGAACCTGGCCAGGCCCACTCTTTTATCAATCCCTCTGTTACTTTTGGTAAGTTTAGACTGACCTGAAAGTAAGACTCAGTGGGCTGAGGGAAACCAAAACACAAGCACATAAAAAAACGTGAACCTTTTAGCCCACCTCTGACAAATTCATTTGCAATGAACAACAAAGTTTTGCTAAACCACATTAATTAAGGTGAGAAATGCTTATAAAAATACTCTTATTATCTTAAGTACAAGTAAGTAAAAGTAGCTGTAGAAGTAGCAATTCCTGAAAATCTAAACTATGTAAAATTTTTAAGCTGATTGATACAAGTTAAGGCAGCATGGAATAATATTTCATTCCAAGTTTTCAATATATCAAAACAAAACCAGAAGTATGCTGAAAGAAAAATCTCAATTCTTCAACTTCTAAGAAAAAATTTACATCTAACATCTCCCAGGATGTATATGGTTTTCCAGTGTACCATAAGCAAGGAGTAAAAAAAGTAACCAAGTATAATTTACTGGTCTTGAAAAAAAATTAAAAATAAAAAGAAATCTATATTTATCATCTGTAGATACATGTTTTAAAACATCCAGTTAAAATTGGAATTAAAAAACTACAGTCAAGTTACAATATTTACACAATTATTTAAATGCTGTATAATAGTAGTTAATTTTAAGTTAATACGTAAAATTAGCAGGTTAATTAAAATATCTGAATGCAACATATGCTTATTTTGAGAAGATTGGAGTACAGGAAGGAAAATCATAACCAAGAATATTTCCCCTACTCTGCTTAAAAGACAGAGTGAAAAAATGCTGCCACTGAGACAGGAGAAGGTAAAACAGAGAGACAAAGTTTGACAAACCATTAGACCAACAGCCATAGATAACATCCCTAAGAAATATGAAAAGAGAAAAAATAAAAGCAAGAACAGCTCTATGGCTTCTCTGCATAAAAAGAATTCCTATTCTCCTGTTAGTTTGTTTCTTTGATATTTAATATTCTTTTCACTAAAGAACTTAAAGAGGAAAGCTATGTAACAGTCAAACATGCTCAGAACACATAAATCACAGAAATCTCCAAAAAACAAGTATTACACCATCAAAGTCTCAGATCACAGATCTGCAAAATATAAAGTATCTGCTTTTTCCAAGATTCAGCAATACACTGCTGCTGTGTAGCAAGGAGGTTATCAGTCCCCAAAACAGTGCACAGGGAACATTGTTTCCCTGGAGCTGATTCTTGTCAATAGTATTTACATATTTAATTTTATTTGCATATTTACCAGATATATTTACTTTCTTCCAATGTCACAAGTCTCCTTAAAGCAAGAAAAATACCAATAGCAGAGGATAAAACTATCTGTAAAATGGCTTTATACTTAATTGAATTCCTCTTCTGATTCATGATCAGTAATAATTATTCCTAGCAAAGAGGGGACAGACTTTCCAAAGCACATACCACAGAGAGACTTGCAAATTAATTCAAGTATTGTGTAAAATTGTTTCTTCATTAAGTGGCATGCTCCTCAAATATATAGTTTATTGTAACATCTGGATCCTTTCATCATCCCATTACTCCCTTTGCTATTCTTGAAATATCCTTGTAACAGGAAAACACTTTCAAAACATGCTCTGGCATGTTAAAGCCCAGAGCTTGCCACTGCAATTCAGATATTTTAAATT